GGGGAAGTTTGAGGAAGTTCGGGGAAGTTTGAGGAAGTTCGAGGAAGTTTGAGGAAGTTCGAGGAAGTTTGGGGAAGTTTGGGGAAGTTCGAGGAAGTTTGGGAAGTTTTGACCCATGGGAAGTTTGGTGTACAATTTTTTTCGCCGTGATTTACCCCTCGGCCAAAACGCTCAGTACCTGTGTATGTGGAAAGCTGGAATCCATGGAAAGATCACCAGGAAAACATTCCAGGAAACATACAAAGAACCGCGGACTCTTCATTTCCCAGCACAGGGCAACAGTACAGGATATAACAGGACTCCTGATGTCACTGTACAACGGTGACCTGATCTAGAGACTGTGCTGCTATACCTCAGTATACATGAGAACTAGGGGTGTAACTGTGGCTATACACTGTGTGATGGAGAGACTCTCGGAGAGACTTTAGATCGCAAGAGACATTCAATTTTTGAGCGACCAAAGGTATACAACTCATACCATGTGAAGGACTTGTATGTACAAGGGACGATCATAATATCGAAGTTGGTTCAGTGAAATATATTCTATACAATGGACCACCAAGCCAAAGTGTCACCCAAAGTACGGTTAGACAAGCCTCTGAAAGAGGTTGAAATGTTCAGTGGCATATTAAGATCATGAGTTTGGGAACTCTCACCACGAGGATTGGTCCAGTTAGGATTTTTCAAACACCATAGAGGAAAAAGTGTATACAAATAATTCCAACAAATGTTGTTTTTATTAAATTTTTCATAGCAGACCACTTTCGACTATGAAATGCTTACTCGTCAGGTTGACAACAAGATTATCCATAAAAATATCATTGATCCTGTTTAGTTTTTTCAACAGTATGGCTATGGCTAATCAGGTACAAACATATTGAAATTTGTTTTTTGAACTGATTATATGCAGCTTACATTTCACAAACAGCTAACATGACTGCGGCATACTGTCGTTTTAAAGTGAAGTGGCAGATAGTACTGAAGTAGAGTATCGACGCAATTTGCGATGACAGACATCCTGTGTAACTACCTCGGTAAGTCCTTATATCAATGTTCATTGATACAAATAATTCATTTCCATCAAAAAACATACTTTTCATCATCTCCATTGAGAAGTAAACCATCATCTTCATTGACTAAACCTGTACTGCTTGTGGGTATTGACACTGTAGAATAATGTTGCCCACCTCTACTCTTTGGAACGAGCTTTGGAATAAAACCGAAGAACTGATAACACAGATTGATTCTTGCGAATATTGATGCATAATATGTATAGATATATATATACATATCTGTATTATTTCGAATCAATACTTCACAGCGTATTTGTAAAATTGTTATTACTATAAGGAATCATATGTTACACAATTTTGCGATATCTCAATTCTGATATTCTTCTCGTGAATACATTCTATCTTCTGGAGCACACGAATTCGAATCCCCATTATGTTCGAAGAACATCCTACGTTTCTATGGACCATAGGAAGAGGTTAGACACAAGTCTCGACACAAGTGGTACATTTGGTAGTGCGCTGTAGACGAACATTTTTTCATCATCAAATTTCGAAATGGCTCATCATTATACCAGTTTTGGATAGCACTATTCTGCATGAACGCGTTGTACGTTGTTATTAGTATTATTATATCCGATTATATCATTGCCAATTTCATTGAACTTCGATAAAATCGTGTCTGACAGTTTGACGTTGATCAATATATCAACATTGAAAGAAAAAATTCATCGTGATGTCCTAATTTGGTCCTATAATCGAAGTTACTGCTTCGATATGCATTTGGATGTCATAATGACTCCATTAAAGACGCAAAATAGAATAAAATCATTTCACGCATTATATGAAGCACTTCAGCATTGCAAATAACGAAACAGAAGACAAGTCAAGTCACACTTCTTTTTCGGGTTCTACGTAATACTTATTCTGACTTCTGAAAGTACTAAATCAGCGTTATTGTTAAAGTTTTTGTAGTTATTGTGGAACTTCATGATACAACAATTATTATAATGAGGAAAAGAGATCCAAATGGAAATTCATCAAGATTGGTCGAAGAAATATCCGAGAAGTTGAAATAACGAAATAAATACTGGGTGGTTATACTATGTATTAATTGGCAGCAAGATTCAGAAAATGTTGTTTTTCACAGCTTACTCATTTTTTTTCTCGATGTATGTTCAATAGAGACATGTAGGTTGTAGGTGATGGCCCATTGAAGGCTAGGCTCTGGAATTCATTGCCTGTGGAAGTATTCCCAACAACATATAATCTCCAAAAGTTCAAAATAAATTCCAATACCTACCTCCTGTCCCTATCCTCCCTAGGAACGCACAATGTTCTTTGAACATTATAGGGATTCCCTTTCGTGCGCTCCAAGCGATAAAAAAAGACAAGTTCTGGAATATTGGCAAAACATTTGGTTATGATTCTTTGTATCATCATTATGGCTCATTCCACGCCAGACTTCATTCATATCGCCTGAATTCCGGAAATACCTTGACTTTATGAATGTCAATAGGACCTTAGATATATGTTTATATAGCAATTGGTAACAAACAACAAAATTGTCCAAGATGAGGTAAATCTTCTGGTGAATTGAGATGAGTATATAGGTCCTCGTCCTATGACTGAAATTAATGAAGTCGTATTCATCAGCAAAATCATTGATTCAGTTTGAATTAGATTGTAAAACACTGAATAATGCCAGAAATTGTGATATGTGAATGTTATTTCAATATTTTCCGAAATAATCCTAATTAGGTACCTATAAAACTTCTTACTTAATCATCACGCTGTATATGCGGTCAAATAATGACAGCAAATAACAAGGTCTACTAGAGTATCTATTTCAGTCCTATGTATATGCAATGATCGTTTGTTCACTGGAAATTCTATTTCGTATTATGTTTATCATGATAATTCGATTCAAGACTCGATTCAAGACAAACAAGAACTCTCCAGGAGATTTTTTTAGACTCATTTTTTAGAGCATATTGCGAAGCATATTGCATTCCATGAATCAATAGGAATAGATTCAAATTTTGTTAGTTTGGCGTATAGTACTGTGATTCATTCCAGATTCCTTTCAAATCATTGAAAAATTCCGCAGGCCTTTCTGGATGGTAATGAAATAGCAGTATCAACTCATAGATAGTTAAGAATATCATTATTATCCAGGGACCAAGATTATATCCAGATGCCTCAGCCGAGGGGTATAAGGCCACGTGCATGGTAATGATATAGGTTTATATATTTTTTTTTTATCGCTTGGAGCGCACGAAAGGGAATCCCTATAATGTTCAAAGAACATCGTGCGTTCCTTGGGAGGATAGGGACAGGAGGTAGGTATTGGAATTTTTTTTGAACTTTTGGAGATTATAATATGTTTATATCAAATTTTTTCACCAATAGCGATATATTTTAATCATCATAGTTCTGTGAAACTGAAATATGGACCTATTGTCACTATGAAAGCACTTTTTTTAAACTCTAATCGAAATCTAGTAGCCCTGACCATGACAGCATATTATGACAAGTCGTAATTGATAGATAATAATAATAATGACATAGTGGCCAGGTAGCCGTGCGGACAGAGTGTCCATATTCTAATCCGCATTCGCTTGCCGGTCGTGGGTTCGAGTCCCGTCGACTGCAGAAATTTTTCTGATGGCCCAAGAAAGTGTTTGGGATCACACGTTAAAAGGTAAGGCCCCCGTCATTCCTTGCTCGCACAAGACTCTCGAAGACTTCTGAGGGTTGCTCGTAAGGGGGCAACCGAATGACGGATAGAACCATTTTAGAAAAAATGATAATGATGAATACGTTCATTATATACCCACATATTATACTTTACATAGGTTGAGTTAGAGAACTATATCCATATTGGGTAGGCAGATAAAAGATATATGGTTCAGACTTCAGAAGGTAAACCTCTGAGGCTGTTCTTCCACCAAAGCCTACATAAGTTTATAATAATAGTGAATGGTCACCAAATACCCGCAAATACCTACTAGATTCAAGTGCCATCCTTGCGAATCTCGCATCAGATGCGAGATCAGAACAGTCCATTCGGGTTAATTATAACAGGAGTGGCTATTTTTTCATTGAATAGTAGTTCATAGAATGATGAGAACTATACCTTGATAGTAAGAAAACACTTTACGCTTCGAAAATTAGTAAATAATGGTTGGTTCTATATAGCTATACAGGGTGATTCAAAAGTAAGCGGCATCCTTTCAGAGGCGTATTCCTTGCATGAAAATAAGGCAAAAAGTTCCTATTGATAAGGATCCGAAAATGCTTCCTAAGGGAGCTACGGCCCTTTGAATAGGACACCTCAAAGACGGTTTTTTCTCTATAACTTTAAAATCCTTCACAACAAATTTTTAAAAATTGGTGTACGGCATAAACATTCGATGGTAAATAGGACTCCGTATTCGAAATAATTTCCAAACGAAATCACAGTAACCTGAATATCCGGAGAAGAAGGGATATTTTTACACTTACCCTCTCCCGCATGTGACGCCCCTGAATGAAATTCTGAAATTTCGAATACGGAGTCCTATTTACCATCGAATGTTTATGCCGTACACCAATTTTTAAAAATTTGTTGTGAAGGATTTTAAAGTTATAGAGAAAAAACCGTCTTTGAGGTGTCCTATTCAAAGGGCCGTAGCTCCCTTAGGAAGCATTTTCGGATCCTTATCAATAGGAACTTTTTGCCTTATTTTCAAGCAAGGAATACGCCTCTGAAAGGATGCCGCTTACTTTTGAATCACCCTGTATAGTGGTGAAAAATGATGATCAACCACTGTTTCAGCAAATTCACAATAATGTTATTGAAAGTGCTTCAATTTTTTTTTTATTCGAGATATTTAATCAGAAAAATTCTAGGGAATCGGATGGGGAAGTGAAAAACCTACGAGGAAAGAAAAAATCAGACCGAAAATCGATACTTTTCAACCCATCATAACAAAATTACCAACATACCTCCTATTCTTGACGTCTCCCAAAGTCATCTCTAACAGAACAGTCCCCTATCCAAAAGGTCACAAAACAGGCGTATCACATAATATCACCGAGTTTTTCAGCGCGGTCATTGATGGCGAAGCGCGGTCACCGTTCTTGATGATTTCGGTTTATCTTCGCCTCGTGAGCACCTGTTCTTCGTGAAGAGATGGCAAAACAACTGACTGCCGCCGCTCTTCACGGTCCCAACTTGGCATGTACAAGACGTCGTACCGCTACCGTAATCTAGGAGGCCTTTAAATTCAGCGGTCATCAACAGGTGGATGTGGTCAGCCGAAGGAGGAAACGTCACAGTATAGTTGTGACGCGTCTTAAAAAAATCGTTGTTGAGTTCGATGCGATGTCTTGAATGGCTGATAGGGTCAGATTAAACTCCTCAGAAAGAAAGTTGAAAAGGCAGATTGTTCCCAAATTGTTCTTATCCATCATTCGGTTGCCCCTCTACGATCAACCCTCGAAGAGACTTTCGCGAGCAAGGCATGACGGGGGTCTTACTTTTCAACGTGGGATCCCAAACACTTTGGCCATCAGAAAAATGTCTTCGATCGTGATGGAAATCAAACCCATAGCTACCGGCAATCCAACGTAGATAGAAACCGAAACTTCTACCACGAGGCTACGCTGGCCAGATAGTTAGGGAGATACATTAAGCAGTAGACAACGATGAATTATGAAAAAAGTTCAAATTGAATTGTCTCCTGAAATATCATTACATATCTTTTCCACAAAGTGAACTGAAGATTCTGATTTTATTCTATCATTATAATATGTTGCTTTCAAAATGGGTCTGCATCTGAAGAATCAGCTGTCACCTTTTGATAGGACGTATACCCTTTTCGAGAAGAACATCGGAACTGTATCTTGATGAATTGAACAAAAATAGTTCAACGAACTCATTATGCTGCATTTGTTTCCATGATTCCATTATTGCTACGTTCGGTACCAAGTGAAATCAGAAATGCTCTTCGAGGTAAGACCAGACTAATGCTTTTTTTAAATAATGGGAGTGGATGAATGAAAAAACCGATGCAACTACTGATGGAATTGTTGATTTTTATGATGAAATATTGATAACTAACCTTGTAGTGACCATTTTTTTCGTGAGACCAAGTTTTTCCAGGTTGTCCTATATGACTCCCTACGACAATTTGAGAGAAAACCAAATAGAATCTAGTAAGGAAAAATTTGCCAGAAGAACATTTCTCAATCATCTCTATGAGTTTATATTGATTAATTTATAAGAAAGACAAACTCTCAATCATCTCCTCAGGTCTACTTTCATGAATTTTTCAGAAACCTAATATCTTGATAATTTGTACTGGTTTGCACATTGATTAATTTGCCAAGAAGATAAACTCTCAATAATTATCTCTACACACCTCTACCCTACTTACTAGCTTTTCCATTTAGATCGAAAATGTCTCTAGAATAAGTTAACATTGATAAATCCGTAGTTCTAGTGGTGAAAAAAATTCAATATAATACACCTTGGTGGTGATAGTTATTGATGTATCAAGGTCGTAAAGTAGGCTTCTATGGACTGCAGCTTATAAGTAAGAGCCCGAGCGACACCGAGGTCTTTTAAGAAGCCTATGGGTCCATGAAAGTAAATTACGAAATACATACATTTTATGCACGACCGTTTTAGTCGTCTGTCTACTGTCAATTTGGAATTAATTTATGATTTAGAATTCATTTGGCCACTGCCGAAGAATCATCGAGCTAGTCCACTACAAATTACTGGAGAAACAACGGAATTACTTAACCGCCCAATTACCTACTTTACCGCCCGCTGTACTCCTTCATAGCCCTAAAGCGATGAATTGTAAGAGTAAAACTCTTTGTTCACTAACAGAGATTCATTACTTGAGATGTAACAAGATGTATATATACCCAGTGTATAGCTACCTAAATTTGACATTGTCAATCAGTCTGATGATTGCTGTCTAGCAATACATCTAAAGAACAAGCTGAAATTGTCATCTTTTGACTTTTGATAGAATCAGCTGAGAGTTCAAGTATAAGTATTCCACAAATGGATGTGTGGATATAAGGGACTTGAGAACAGCTGGCGGTAAAGTGCGGTAAAGTGCACCTTATGGCCCGTGGGCGGTAATGGGCGCGCGGGTGGTAAAATAAAACTTTACGCCCTCAAACCTGGGCGATAAAGTACACTTCACCGCCCGCTAGTGCATAAATAACTATTATAGTTCTAGTGATGAAAAACATATTACATAGATACCCCGTGTGAGAATGCTATTATGGTTGTTCACGTTTCGAATTGTTGAAACATTCCATGAAATGCGCAGAATGAGGTGCGTTTCAAATTCAAATCGAAACAAATCCAGTATAGTTTGCCAAAGAGATAAAGGAAATTGCGATTTTACGGTTTCTACTTTTCTTTTTCGAAAAATGCTCCCCCTCTCGACCTCGACTCCCGTGGATTGAGGGCATAACATGATGAAAGAATCCTAAAAAATAAGACCAGAATATAACCTTCCTTCTGAAACATTTCTACACGTTCTATACCTACTTGAAATGATTCCCGAATTCGTTATCTCAGTACTGATTCTGCTCGGGGAAAATCGTGCGTACCTGGAGAGAAACGGTAGGTATTGGATTTTTTTTTCAATTCTGGAGGAAACAAACGAGTTGTGGCAAGTAGTGGCTTGACATATTTCCATGTTAACGATGGAAGGATGTGCTGACTAGGCTTGTCGAGTACGTCTGATGACTGGTATACTAGTGATGAGATGTCCTGTTCTATTTAAAATAAGGAAGTTGATAATAATTCCGGAATAACTGAAAAAGTGGCAACATCGACGATAACATTTTCAAATCCACCACGTTTTGAAATCACCCTGTACATATATTCAAAAAAATCTAACCATTTGTCACCGAGATATTCACCTGGTTCCATACTTTTGCCCAACCCTGTATATCTTTTCGTTATCAGATGACGGTCGAAATTTGCAGACTCCTCTCGGAATAATATGGTAGACTCTTCTCGGAACTGGTAGTACCTACCAGGATTGTTATATTTGTTTTTACATGCATATTGATCGATGGTGTTCCTTACAAAACCATGATTTTCTGGTGAGATCTTGAGGATTTTCAGCAGATGATGTTCGATAACGTTTGTTATCAACTGAATTCGAAGAGGCCGACGATCAGGAGCTCACTATTCTCCATTCCATAGCTGTATTTGATGAATTTCAGGTACCTGGTACTGTGTAGTACCTTCGAGATCGATGGGGAACAAATTACTCAACAAATCAGAGAAAATAACTACCCATCTGGAAAAAGTTGAACTATGAAGCTTGAAGCTTGCATCCCGTGGGAAGAAACCGAGAAGTTGTCCGGCATGCCTCCTTCATAAATAACCCATCAAAGAGCCATATTTTCTAGCTTAATCGGGTATCTTGTCATCTGGGAAAACACAGTAAAAGCGCATTACCGCTACATTTCATCAAGGAAGCTAAATCTCCATTCATCAAAGTAATGGTCGCATTTTCATTCCACTTGGGTACGATAAGGAGCATCGAAGTACCGAAGTCACTCTGACCAAATCGTTTATGTGACAGTCATCGGTGAGTCATGGGCGCAAATATTGGAATATTATCACGACGGTTGTGCGATAGTATGCACTCAGGTACGACTAGTACCCGCCCGTACTTGCACTTGCAGCGGTCAGTACTCATTTGTGAAACGATGAGCAACCAGGAAATATCAAAATGTTGGAAATTATTCAGGCATAATGAACAATACTCTTGAAGAACGGTTATGTTTTGATCCTCAGATACAGCGTGTTTCTATTTGGTTCACCCCACCCGTGTACTTTCGTGTTCCTATGGCGATTTGGAATTTATTTATCAAAATATAGGTACTACTCAAGATTATCAACATTGTCGAGCAAACGGAAATTATGAATCACAATTTTTCAGCTTACCTAGATCACAAAAACTCCAGCAAATTTGAAGGATTAGGAATTTTTTTTAAAAAATTCCGATGATTGCAATCGATGCAGACCAGTCACAAATATTCCTACATCAGTTTTCGGAACAGTATCTCATAAGTAATAGAAACGTCAGTTTAAGAGCTAATTTTGGTATCAAAATGGACGACTTTTGTGTCGGTTGCAGAAAATAGTGTTTTTAATATACAATTATTGAATATTCGCATTTTTCAAGTCACCGTGTGAAATAATTCTTGATTCTTGTAGGAATTTTAATAATACCAAGCATGATGGTAGTCAGAATTATATCATCTATCAAAATAGTAGGACGAATAACGAAAAAAATCACTAGAAAATTGTATTCTCCAACAATAAATAAAAATTATCAGGAAATTGATATAGATGTATTTGTGGCTATAATCCAAAATCGTTTGCCATCATCAAAATTTTTGTTAAAAAATACCTAATCCGTTTTCGGCATCCTTGTAGGAGTTCTTGTGCTCGCAGAAGACTCAGAAATTGTGATTGATGATATTTTGTGTTCGCTCGACAAACTTGATAACTTTTAGTAGTATCTTATGAGAAGAAAAATCTGAATCGCTCTAGGAATACGAAAGTACAGTGGTACAGATCCATACGTAGTGGTGGATGGAGTATCGTCTGATACCATAGGCACAGATTAACAAGTGCCATAGGCATCAATTCCGGCATTCCACAAGAATCCATCTTGGCACTAACATTGTTCGTACTCCATATTGATGATCTGTTGGGATAACCCCTTGCTCTATCAACAGCTTTGTAGCTAATATTACTCTCCACACTGTGGTCTCCTCCAGAATTCCTAGTTCATCCCAGGAAATTAGCAAATCACTAGGAAGGCAGGTTCACGCTGTCAATGAGGCCTTCTTAAATTTACATCCTTGGGAATCAACCTAGTCGCATTCAACGCTAGCTAAACTGAAGCCTGTGTTATCTTCTTGCAAATCTCTTTTATTCGAACTCGGACCAGAAAAGAGTCCCTCTCATCAGCCGAATTCCGTATGTCTGAATTAACAATACATGGTACTACCATACCAAGTCCATTATATATATTCTCTGCATCTTCATCAGCAATGATCATTCATGGAAGAATTAGGTCAGATCCATCGCGAAAGCTGCTTCATAAAAACACGAATTCTAATATCGAGCAAAAATTATCACAGCT